AAAGCCACCAAGACACAGATCTTTGAATGTACTTCAGATCCTAGCTCCTTCTTTAGGTACCTCTTCAAATGACCAGTAAGCTGCCACCGAAGGTCGCAGGTGCTGTTGTCTATTGGGGATCAGTATGCTCAGACCCAACTAAAGCATGGAAACGTTCCTTCTTGTCATAAATTGCTCTGAGCCTGACACCGGATCTAACCTGTGTTTATTCTGGCATCACTATGGGGTCAGCACACTTCTTCTGTCTTTTACACTCCAGTCATTTATCTCTGCTCTTGCATTGCTGCTTCAAATGTGTTGGCACAGATGCTTGGGTTGCCATGTATTGAGCTGAACCTGGAAACCAGGGCAGGTGAAAACTAAATTATTCAGCAATATTCTCTTATTCCTTTTCTTCTTATTTTTCTTTCTCTCTTTTTTTTTTTTTTTATCTTTCTCTCTCCCTCCTGCACTCCTCTCCTTCCTAATTTTAGTTCCTTTCCTCCATTTACTCCTTTCTTTTCTTTTCCTTTACTGGATATGTTCTAGTTTGCCCTATAGATAAAATATTTATTTTACTGAAGTGGTGTTAGGCTGTGATTAGAGAGAAAATCAGAGATGCTTAAGAGAGTTTAAGAAACAGTCATGCAAAACCATTACTATAGTCAACAAAGTGAAACCAGACATATTCACTGTACATTGCAATATTCACCTTCTGTGATTTCAAACCTCATCTCCAGATTTTAGCAGCACTAATACATTTGCAGTGACTTCTGCTGTGGTCACTGAAGGTCTGGTGCTTCTAAAAGTTTCACAGCAAAGCACTTTTGAAATTCCCACTTCTAAGCAGTATAGAAATTGTTGAGCAAGCTGTTTGAAAACTTAATTTCACTTTTGCCAGAAAGTCTCCAAGGGGTTGTGTCCCTGTTTGGAAAACACTTCATATTGTAGCTGGTGACTCTCTTTGTATTCCTGTGTTGTACACTTATACCCCACATTTTCATAATTTTTAATGCATTTTGAGAAAATGAAATGTTGTTTATAGTTGAAAAAGGAGTGGTAGAATCTGTCTTCCTTACATTTTTTTCTACATCTGTATACATATTTTTAATATATCTGTATACTATAAAGAGACAAAGATATTCTGCACTTCTAAAGCATTGAATTAATATATTTAGACAGTACATATCTCATTGCTGTGTATCTGAACATCTGGGCTTGTTTCTGATTTTAGAGGCATGTTTTGTACTTGCTTTTCTGTCATGTCTACTTCACTTTTACAGATCCTGGAAATTCACACTGCAGAAGCTTATCAATATGAAACTCATCTCTGACTATACCACTCAGAGATGCAGAGTCCTTATACTTTTCATTTACACAAGGAAATTCTTCTAATACCAAGCATAATCACTACTGCCTGTTATTTTTCTTATAAGTACGTATGGGTTTTCAGTGTAGATGAAGACACGTATTGACTTCTGCTTCTGCTAGGCTAACCTAAACCTTGCTTAGGTCAAGAATTTAAGCCTTGATCAATGCAGTAATATCCAGCATGCAATGCCCTCTTCTTCAGCAAAAATTTAACCACGGTGACTTCAGAGAATAGCTTGAAAATTGTGATACAGATATACTCAAGGAGTTAAATGTTTTGCGTTACCCTTTCATTTTGAACATCATGCCACCGGCTTACTTTTGCTGCACAAATGCTACACTGAATAATAATTTTTAATTTAATAGAATAATTTTTAGTGTTTTCTTTTTGTATTGAAGGGAAATGCCACTGCATGGCTTTGTCAGGAGGAGCTGAATTGAAATACCTTGTCTTTCTGGAAGAAATGGATCCTGTTTCTCTGATTCTAGATTGAACTTTCTCTGAAATACCTTATCTTATCTGTTCCTTTCTTTATTCACATTAACCAGAAAATATAGAAAAGGCCTCACTGGCTTCAGTTTTGAGGCTTTCCACTTCTCAGTGTTAAATCATATACATAAGTTTATATGTGCATCAGCACAAACCTCCCACACATCGGTATTTTCTCCATCTTTGAGTAGCTGGTTGATACTTCACAGAGCTGAACACCTGACGGCACACGGATACTGATTTTAGAAAAATGTGCCACAAATTTGGACTTTAATCTCTACTGTACAGCAAGTTCTTCCCAAAATGAAACAAGGAACACCAGCTGAGTGACTCTTGTCCCAGTAGTGAGCATTTTGGAGGAAAAAATAAAAAAGGCTTGGAGTAGATTTACAACTTTTTTATTGCTGTGTTTAGAGAAGTTTGCATCTATTGATTTATGCCTTGGTAACTGAACTTCCTAAAAACCAAATTTCCCTGAGCATCACATCATTTGTGAAATCTCCATCCTGCAACTACTTTCCGCCACTCTGAAGATGTCCATGCTAACATAGAAATGTTTCTAGGCTGGGATATATGCGTGTTATAACAAAAGGAAATTTGTATTTTAGTTTTGTAGAACTGTTCTCTAAAGCTTCCTGAGACCTTATTTAAAATGTGTTACATCTTGATCTGGTTTACTTATGCTATTTTATTACATTTTGACATTTAATAAATTTGAGAGACTTTTTACCTAGGCCTGTAGTGACAAGACAATGAGTAATGGCTTTAAAATGAAAGATGGTAGATCTAGATTGGACACAAGGAAGTATTTTGGGGTGGGGTAAGGTAATGAGACACTAGAACAGGTTGCCCAGAGAAGGTGTGGATGGTCCATGGAAGTGTTCAAGGCCAAGTTGAACGAGGCTTTGAGTAGCTTGGTCTAGTTCCAGCCCAGGCAGGGGGGTTGGAATTAGGTGATCTTTAAAGGTCTCTTCAAATACAAACCATTCTGTGATTATGCGATTCTATTCCATAAAGTGGATTTTGATATAGGAAAAAAAGATATTACAATGTATGTAGTTGCCTGGGATTCATTTTATTTCATCCATATCAGTAACAGAATAATGTTATATATTAAGCAGATAATTTACAGGTACTTATGTTTGCTACACACACTCAAAAAAGTAATGATCAATTTTATAACTTGGCAAAATCTCTTAGCCCAACAGATTATTTTTGATCTATATGGTTAACTGCAATTTTTGTTCCTCTCTTTCTTTTATATTACTCTGATTTTTTTATTTTTTGTGTTTTAGTTTGAGATTTAAGGAGTAGTAAAAATTAGGCAAAAGTGGTTATGTTCCCCAAGTTTTGAGTTAAAATGTGCCTGATAATAAAGGTTTGTATCAATATAATTCAAAATCATCAGTCTCTTGACAAATTTTGGTACAGATTCACTCAGAACTTTAAGCAAGGCATATAAAACAGTTTGCAAACCCTGTTGATGTTTCAGATTTCTAATAAAAATACCAAGTTTGAAGTTTTATTTTAAAACTTTGCTTTATTTTATCAAAATAGATATTTTGTTAGAACCTATAAACTCAGGGTAAATTAAATCAAGAGGTCTCATGATCCTAGCAATGGGAAAAGCAATCTCCAAAATAGTTCTACTCAGAATGATATCCTGAAGGTTTGTATTATATCCTCCTCTGGAAAAGAATAATCTGAGTTCAGTCCAGTTTAAGACATGCACTGAAATTTTGTTCACATTTACACAGGTGTGACCTGCCTGGTGTCAAAGATCCATAAATGAGGGAAGAGTTTGGTCTCTGCTTTGTAATACCCTTTGCTACTGGCATTTTCTTATTCAGTCGTGTTCATGAAACTCCTGACCTCAGCTGGAATCTACTGTACAAATTCTAGCTTCTGTTTAAGTTAGATCTTTATTAGATTTATCAAATCATAGTGTAATTCATTTTGACTCAAGAAATTGGCTAGTATTAGACTCCATATCAGTACAGATGAGTGAAAGTCTCTTTACAAAATAACCTGTCAGAGAAAAAAAGAAAGCTTTTGAGGGACTAGAAATCATTCTGAATGTGTGGAAAATTGAGTGATTGTTTCAGTCAATATAAAAATGGCTAAATATTTTCAAAACAACAGGTTTTGGTTGCTTTGGGTTTTTTTTAATATTACTTTTGCGCTTCAAAATTACCTTGGTTTGGGGCAGCTATGACGAAAAGAAAGGAATTAGATTCACAAAACTGCCAGTAGTCGTATTCAACAAATTTGGCACATTGATTTGAAAAACCACCTAAGAGGTGGAAGATCAACATTCAGATCCATGTGAAACAGAGGACTGATACACGGCATGGATTTTAAACAATGTTTGCTATCTCTCCTGTGTGTTTTAAACAGCTGGCAAATACAGTAGTTGATGCAGAGTTGGATACCATCAACAAAAAAACAAATGAGCTCAGAATACCAGCTCTCAGAATCATCTTGGGAATCTAATTTTAATTTTAAATTAATTTTAAATTTAAATTTAATTTTAAATTAATTAAATTTAAATTTAATTTTAAATTAATTAAATTTAAATTTAATTTTAAATTAATTTTAAATTTAATTTTAAATTTCTGTAAAGACAGAACTCCCACATGATGAGTAAGTCTTCCATCCAGTCCTTCTGGCACAGGTTTTCCTGGGGAGTGAAAAAAGACAGGCTACCAGTATTTGCTCTTCCGTCACTGCCCCACTTTTCATCTCTATGTGGCTCCCGTGAAGCTGCCAGTCACACACTCTTCAGTCATGTATGGTGCCCCAGCTTCTCACTAGCTTCTCTACAGTTGTAGAGAACCTGAATTACAAAAGGCAACAAGATTGTAGGTGTGTCAGGGTGTATCTCTGCTTTTCTATTATTGACGTGAGCCTATCTGTATCATGCATCTTGGCATAAGGTTTAGCCCCAACATAGAATCCAATGTAGGGGCACCACCCATGCTATGCAGATAGCAAGGAAAGAAGCTTCTGCCAGTCTGGTTTGGGGCTGGATGCTTAGAGGACTTTTGGGTAGACTGGGATTTGTCACTTCCTGTAATGCCTTAATTTATGGCTTAGGGATTTTTTTGGGGGGACACTCATTTTGCAGGTACTTTCACAGAATTTAGTTTACAAAAAAAAAAAAAAAAATTATAAACCACATTTTTCCTGAACAAGAGTCTGACAAATAAAAGACAATTGCTTTGAATTTTAACACTTCTCCCAAGAAACAGTTTCCTCAGTTTTGTTTTGTATTTTGGCTTGCCTGCAGGATCAAGCTTCTTTTGCTTTTCTGACCTTCACTTCGTGGGCTTATCTGCTCTTAGTGCATGCAACTCAGAGGTTTCTAAGGATCATGACCTTACAGTGAAAACTCCTCTATAAAATCTACTTGCCTTTGTGCTGATCTTGTCATTTGACCTTGGGCAGTGGTACACACTGTTTCTGCGGTTTTACTTACTTATCTGGGGTATTTTGATGCTCAGTGGAGATTTACTAGCTGCTACAACAGCACCCCTTTCTGTGATTCTGTATTATGCCTTTCTACTGCTCTGTACCCTTTCCAGTGTAACATCCTGGCTTTGCAAGATTAGGAGGCAGAGTGTGAAGTACACTGAAGGAAACACTTTTTTGACCTGACATGGTCCAGTGAGTGAATGGAATCATACTAGTATCATGCAGGCCTGTAATTGATCAAGTCTGCGTTGTTCATACTGCCTACAAGAACAGAGTAGCAGAAGGCTAACAAACTTCATTTGACATGAAATTTCTCATATGCACAATGAATTAGCAAGGGCTTAATTTGGATCAATAGAGAAATCCCTCAGAATAATTAATTAATCACTTTAACACACTATTGTTTGTTGTGGGGTCAACATTTTCTCCCTTTCCACTTCGTCATGCTCACCCTTTCCTCTGTAAACCCTACTCTGCTCTGTCTAACTTTCAGACAGAACAATTGAATAAAATATGCAGCTACTGACAGGGTTTCATACATCATTTGCCAATGAAAGCCAAAAACTGATTAGCCAACAGTCTTTTCAAATTAAGCTTGACTTTGAATTCTGAATTTCTGGCAAACTGTTGACTGCAGCCCCGACAAGCCCTCAGTAACACTTCAGAAATACAGAAGTTGCACGAGTGGAGAAGAAATGTTTGTCTTTTATTGTAGTTCTTCCAAAATCTTCTTTCCCAGTCTTATTTTAACTCTTCTGTGGACAAAATCTGCTCAAGAACCTGTGGCAAGAAGTGTCCAAGTGACACCATAGTCCTCTACAGTTGTCTCGTTTCCAGTCTACTCTGTATGTGCCAGCTGAAAAGGAAGAAGCACCCTGCAGTTTCCATTATTAAATTTACACATTACAAAGTTATGCATAGAAAACAGAGTAGAATATATTTTCCATTTGGGCTTCAATCTATAGCCCAAATGTGATAAACAGTTTGTCTAATACTTGTCAGGTGTTTCCTCTTCCATCATATATATAACAACTTCATGCTGAGCAGGGAAAAGAAGGACTCATAAAATTCCAAGGCAAACATCCAAAGTGAATTGCAGGATGGCGGCCATTTCATGTCTTATAGAATAAAAAACAGCATCCAATAAAACATAATGCATAAACATTTGCTACTAAGATATTAGTACCAAGTTCATAGTACATTTTGGATGAAAAGCACAGAATACTGCTTATACCACCAAGGTCAACTCAAAAAGAGCATGCTGTGTGTGTAAGACAGCTATAACTGAACCACTTACCTTGACATTTCCTCTACTTACCCTTGAAGGTAATGTCTTAGACCCTGTACTAAGCTGTTCGTCTGGAAATACTTCTGCTTTGGACCTCAACATCTAAAAAAACAAAGAAAAAAATATGGAAAAAAAAGTGCTAATTCACTATCTGCTGGGTCTCGCTTTGACTGAGTGGAATGACTGGGGTCACTTTACCAAGAGTCACAGAAACTATCCATGAATGAAGTGAGGGGCAAGAGTAGCTATAAGTGTGCTTGCAGCCCTGACCTGCGTGCCTGGGGTTAGCCTGCCTGAGGTTAGCGCTGATGTGGCTTTTTTCACATGATGCAGGAACAGGCAAAGGACAGGGAACTAAGGCCTCTCTCCCCTTCAGAGCATCAGTGGTAAATGTCGTCTCTACATTAACCAGCAAGGCAGTTCACACAGGGCATGAAAGTGAATACTGGGCTTCTGTGCTGCCTGAAACACAGACGACTCCTTATGTGAGCAAATGACACTTAGCACAGGTTATGTGCCCATAGCACACAGCGTGCATTCTGCACAGCAGTGCTGGTGCAGCATTTTCCCTGCTGCCTGTTCTTTTATTTACAATGGCAGGGGAAAAATGATACTGCCTATACATAAGGACAAAGAGTAAGGAATTATACAGCAATCTTTTGCCTCATTTGTTTCTGTTGTGATCACAATATTTAATTTAATGCATGCTTGGGTGCATACAATGGGTTCGGTAAAGCTGAACCCTGTCAGATCTGGAACAACACCCTTTCCCCAAATTACTCCTAGGAAAAAAGAAAGTGATACCTAAGTGAGTCACGTGGCAATTTAGATTCCATGAGAACCACAAAAAAAGATCTTCTAAATAGTTGACAAAATTGTACAAAATAGGCTCTAATTGTTTTTAAAATTTCTTTTTTAAATTACCTTGCAGTAGACTTTCAGCTTAAGTCCACAATTTGAAGTCATAACACTGCGGACTCATAAAGTACTCTTAAACAAAGCTTTATTTTTTCCTTGGTGCATTTTCAGAGCTAAGGTATTTTGCTTCAACACACCCCACTCTCACATGTACAGGACATAAACAGGGCCTATCTGGGACTGGAGAGGGCAGACTTGTAAGGGAAGCGGGACAGCTGAAATATTTTAATTCTATGAAAACATTAAATAACCTCATACTTGCATTTTTCCTCCATTGAAATAGCATGGTTTATTACGGAAAGGAAGGGGAATATAGAGAACAGGAGCTGTGCTTTGGTCTGCTATTCCTATTGCCTGTGTATAGTTTATAAATAGGTCTGTTACAGGAATACCTGTAAAAAAGAAAAGTTCCAAGCCATTAGCTTACATACACATAGTTTGCAATGTAGTACCACAAGGATTCTATGTCCTTTGCAAAGTCACATTTGTCAGACTGAAGTTTTTATTCCCTTGCACAACACACATGCTCTCTAGGTCTCTCAAACATTAACCCTCATCACTTTGAGGATGTATCTAGCCCTTCCTCAGTGTCTAGGCAGAAAGGACCTTTATTCTCAGTAGCAGGAAACAACATTCTTTCCAGGCAAGTCACTGAGTGACTTCATTCATATATCTGATTCATCTGACTCAACCTAGACAGCTACATCTTCATTAGTTTCTCTATACTCTTCCACAGCCAAGAGAGGTAAACTGATATCAGTCAGAAATCAGCCCAGACTTCTGGGATGGGCACTTCAATCCCAGACCCTTACATTAATTTAGCTTTAAGGATGCCTGAGCACATTTTACAAATCTGTATTAACCACCCAGACCAATTTAAGACTGCCAGCAGAAGGATGTTACAGTAACCAAACACCTAAGATTAAAAACAAGTTCCTTGGAGTGATGTATTTGTACAACTGTATATATGACCACCTAAATTGATACATTTTTGGTGTTTAGAGTCTCCCTGAAGCTCACCGTCTGTTAGGTTATAAAGTTATTTGCTCTTCAACCAAATTAGACGCGTAAGAGGCTTTACACTATAAAAAGAAGTTTTTTCCCCATAAAAGTCATCACTTCCTAATACTGATTAAAAACCCCCCACCCAGCCAAATAAGGGTGCATTTAGCACCAAGGGCTAACTGTTGGGAAAAAAGCCATCCTTTCTAGTAGCATGTTTTTTGCGTATCTTTAATGTTTTACTCTCACCTCATAATTTCTCTCAAGAGAAAGTGGCCAAAACATCTCTGTACAGGTTTTTCTCTGGCGTATGTACCCACAGGATCTTTCTCTTTATCTTTGCTGTTCGTGTTTTGGCTTCACACATATATCTGATGCTTCTCTTCCAAGTACTTAGGATCCACCAATACAATTCCAAATTATGAATTACCTCACCCCTTGATAGATATCTGTGTTTTGGGTGGAGGCTGTTCTTGTTTCAGTCACCTGATTCCATAAGGAATGTAAGTATATCTTACACTTATATATACTGACACCTGACTATTATACTCACTAACTTCAATGGATGTACAAAGCACAAGAAAATAAATATATGTGTATATTTTTTTCCAATTTTTAGTAGGAATCATGTGAATACTGTTGCCTCTAATTCTCTAAAATGTCTACTTTTATAGAAATTTTTGTGGAGAGATTGTACATAGGTTGCAGGAACCCTCCCTGTGATAAATGTAAGGGTGAATTCTGGTTACATAGTGAATCCAGTTAACAGAAAATGAGTTTGTCCTGTTGGTGATGAAAGCTTCTTGCATATCGGGATGTGTTAGCAAATTCATAGCCAGAAGACTGAGGGAAGTGGTTACTTCTCTATACTCAGCACTCATGGCACCGCAACTGGGATATTGTATCAAGGTTTCTCTCTCTGTACAACAGAGAGCAGAGAGCAAGAACTGGAGAGAATCCATCACAGGGGACCAGAATTATGAGGTGGGTGGATAAGGAAGGGTGAGAAAGCTGGGTTTGCTCAGATTGGAGAAAAAGCTAAAGAAGGGTTCCGTTTCAGTCTTCATCTACCAAAATGAGGTTATGGAGAAGATGAAGATGAACTTCTCTTAGAAGTACACAGTGAAAAAACAAGATGCAGTGGTCACAAGCTGCAACAGGGGAAAGTCAGTCTAAATGCAAAAAAGGAATATTTGCATGAGAGTAGCCAAGAAATGGAATCGGTGTCCTGAGAAGTAGTGGAATATCCATCCTTAGAGATAACTCAAGACTTGATGATGCACGGCTCTAAGCAATCTTTACTTTGAAGCTAGCCTTGCTTTGAGTAGGGGCCTAAACTAGATGAATTCCTTTGGTCACTTTTGGTCTGAGCTACTCCATCATTCAAAACACCCCAATGCTTGGTAAAAATAAGTAAATCTCTAGGGAGAAAAGGAAATGTTGTTCTAAGCAGAAGGAAGCAAAACAGTAACATATGCAAATAAGAAAAGAAAGTTCTTGCAAGTTGACAATATCCCGTTTAACTTTGTTCCTGTCCTTCATTAAGCATGTCCAACAGATTAAACTCCATTTTCTTACCCATACCTTAACCCCTACTGATAGAGATAAAACTTCTACAGATTTAGCATTGCATAGAGAAGCTTTTCACCAAAGGATAAAAACAATCTCTCTCACCAAATTAGGATGAGTATTCAATATGCATCCTCAAAATTTGAGCACACCAGGGTATTAATATCTCCCAAGAAGATGGCTTATGCAAAAGAAGTTCCGCTTTTACTTAGTGGGAGTGAGAACAGATTTTTTTTTCTCTCAGACTTCTGCTAAGCAGTTTGCACTTAGATTTATGATCATGGAATCATAGAATAGTTTGGGTTGGAAAGGATCTTTAAAGGCCATCTAGTCCACCTCGCTTGCAATAAGCAAGAACATCTTCAACTAGATCAGGTTGCTCAGAACCACATCCAGCCTGGCCTCCAGGAATGGTTCATCCATCACCTCTCGGTGCAACCTGTTGCAGTATTTTACCATCCTCACTGTAATTTTATTTTCCTCATGTCTAGCCTGAATCCCCCCTCTCAGTTTAAAACCATCACCCCTCATCCTATCACAGCAGACCCTGCTAAAAAATCTTTCTCCAACTTTCTTACAGCCCCTTTTAAGAACTGAAAGTCCACAATAAGGCCTCCCAGAGTCTTCTCTTCTCCAGGCTGGACAAGCCTAACTCTCTCAGCCTTTCCTCATAGGAGAGGTGCTCCAGCCCTCTGACCATTTCTGTGGCCCTCCTCTGGACTTGCTCCAACTGGTTCATGTCTTTCCTGTGCTGAGGACTCCAAGCTGGCTTTCATGTACTTATCTGTTTCTTCCTTTGATAGTTATATCAGATTTGCTTTTATTTTCCCTAAAATACTTTCTTTTACTTTTAATTGATGTATCAAAAAACATGTGAGGCTAGTGACACATTCAATTGTCATGGCTGAACTTATTATTATAAAAATACAATATAAAGATCAGAGGTTCAGGAATTCTTTCTTTCTTTTTCATGATGCTCCTGTTTCTTTATCAGTTTGAATCAGCTTTATCAGTTTCACACTAGGAATGAACAAAGCAGTAGTACATCTTAGAGATGAATATAGTTATTAAAAACATGTAATGTTAACATGTTTTACCTAGTAAATCCCAGTGCACCCTATTGAAGCACTATCCTAAATAGTATTTAATCTAACCAACAAGCAGGTCTACATTTTGGTAAATTTTAAAACCTCAAGATATTTAGATATGGATCCAGTAAACTAAGAATCCTGAAAATTGAATGGCTGTTTCAGCTGTGAATGAAGTAAACATTTCTTTTTATTTTTTTATTTTTAATTATCATCTCACTTTAATTCTTTCTTATTTAGTGTTTCTCAAAACTTTGTCAACTGCACACATTTTTACTGCCTTATGAGTTACTAGAAATCATCCTTTCTTTTATATATATATATATATATGTATGCACACATACATATATATGTATGTATATAATTTTCACTCTCCATAAACCCCAGAGTAGGTGCTGCCTGGGTAGTGATGCCTGCAGCAGACTGTGAACTCCTCTGAAGCCAGTATCAATCAGCAATAACAGGTCTGTACCAGCCACATCAATGAGCACGAGCATACTTTGCATGTTTTAACACCAAGGAACT